CAGACATGATGTTTTTAATTCTTGGAGGAGGTTCAGCTTCCCTTTTAACCTCTTTTGCAAACCCCTTCCTCACCCTGAGTGAAATTGTCTTCCTCTCTTCTGGTTTATGGCATTGAGTGCAGTGCATGCATGCTAAGTTACGTCAGTTGTGTCTGACTCTGACCTTATGGATGTAGCCCACCAGGCTCCTCTGTCCTTGGGGATTCTCCAGGCAAAAATACTGGAGTGGGTTGCCATGCCCTTCTCCAGGGGATCTTCCCACCCAGGGGTCAAACCTGCATCTCTTGCATCTGCTACATTGGCAGGTGGGTTCTTTACCGCAAGTGCCACCTGGGAAGCCCACATTTACTGCCATTCTGCCCCAAATTCAAGCATGTGAGGGTTTGGGCCTCCCCTCTCCCACTTAGAGATTCTCAAAAAACAGGGCTCCCACCTTGTCCACTTGGGTTCTTCCCTTACAACTTAGCCTGGGGCTTTCCCTGGAGAAGTTGCTCAGTCGACTTCTTTGGATAAATAATTGACTGCATTGGAGAGAGTAAGTTGGGTAGAGGGAAATATCACAGGGCATTTCAGTTCATCCCTGTATTTTATCTGGAGTGAAAGCAAACCTAAAACCTTACCACCATCACCACCAATCACTACCCCTAAATTCAACTCTTGGTGGGGAAGTAGAGTGGTATTGTAAGGATAATTTATTTTTTTTTAATAAAAAAAGTTTTCTTTGTTTATAAAGGGAAAGAAGGCAGTTGCTTTCTCTTCTTTCTAGAATACATGAGAATATTCTAGAATACATTTCTAGAATACATCTAGAATTTCTAGAATACATTCCTTACTCTAAAATTGTGAAATGGAAATAGATCTCTCTAGGGGCTAGACAAGACCAGGCTTCTGGTTTATAACAGAAACATTTCCTAAGATTGAAGGCCTCCAAGCCACTTGAACTGTGAACACCTCTAGTGTCAACCTTATTGCTGCTGTTTAGTTGCTGAGTTCTGCCTAACTCTTTTATGACCCAATAGACTGTAGCTCGCCAGGCTCCTCTGTCCATGGGATTTCGCAGGTAATAATACTGGAGTGGGTTGCCATTTCCTTCTCCAGGGCATCTTCCTGATCCAGGAATCAAACCCGCATCTCCCACTTGGCAGGTAGATTCTTTATCACTGAACCACGTGGGAAGCCTGTCCATCTTATAGCCTATATATGATCTGTCTATAACCCTTTGCCTCTGGAGGAGATAGGAGAAATTTTTTCTCTTTGCTGTGTAAGTTGTGTGACATTTCATTCTGACACATATGCATGTACTCTGTTGTAATTACTTCATAAGAAATGAATTTTCTTTCTTTTCTGTGAAGATCTGTCTCTTTGTTGGTAGAACTTCTACTTCCTCAAGAATATTGAGTACAATCTCTTGAAAAGTACACATTGTATTCCCACCTCCAGGGATTTATCCCACAGATAGACTTGCAGATGTGCACAGTGAGCAAAACTTCTGGAAAAAAAACTTGTGTCTTTCACTAGACACAGATGGAATATGAAGTACAATAGAATGCTATGTGACTCTTCAAAAGAATGAGATAGACTTCCATGTATTGACATGGAAGGATCTCCAAGATATATTAAGTCAATAAAGCAAGCTGCAACTTTATGGGTTTGCTATAATGACACGTGTGTACTATATGTTTGTACAGCATAGATTTTTGGAAGGACGTGAAAGAATCTGTCAATTGTCCTTATCTCAGGGAAGAGGGATTGGTGGTTGGGTGGAGAGGGTGTGAGAGATTTCTACTTTTTTCTTTGCCCTTGTTTACTAGTTACTTTTCTTAAACCACGTGAATATAGTATTTTAAATGAATATAATGGTTTAAAGGTAAATAAAATACAGCCACTTCAGAGACTTAAGACATCAGTAGGCAATAAGTTCCATAAGTAACTTGAAAGCAGAGATATTTTTGGCTTTGATCAAAGTTCTATATCCATTACTTAGACCATTACTGTTCTGCACACAGTAAATGCTCAGTAAATCTTTAAGGTTGAAACCTAAGTTCTTTGCCTCTCCCAAGGAATTTGACTTTGGAGTTATTTGGTTTTCAAGCCAAATCTCAAGGCGATCTTTGTTGGTTTTCCTACATGTCCTACACTTCTCACTTTTCTCATGCTGATCCATTGGCCAGGAATACTCTCTCTTCTGACCTCCAGAGACCTGTTTGAAATTGTGCACATTTCTCAAGCCAATCTGAAACTCTAATCTCCAGTGAAGTTTTTCTTAGATCTGCCTGGGGAAATATTCCATCTCCTTAACTTGTGGTTTCATGGTAGCCCTATGTTTCTACATTCCATCACTTATTATATATTATAAGTTAATTTTGGTTTCAATTTTGTCTGTACATGTGTCTTTTTATTTAGAACTGTGACTTCTGGGCGCTTCCCAGGTGGCTTAGTGGTTAAGAATCTACCTATCAATGCAGAAGATTCAGGTTCAATCCCTGGTCAGGAAGATTCCCCTGAAGGGGAAAATGGCAACTCACTCTAGTACTCTTGCCTGGAAAATTTCATGGACAGAGGAGCCTGGGGGGCTACTGTCTATGGGGATGCAAAGAGTCAGACATGACTGAGCACACACACAGTAATGGTGGGGACTTCCTAGGCCAGTAGAACCAGCTCATGGTTCTTACCCTTGCCCCCATCCACCCTCACAAGACTGCTGGGTGGCCATCAATCCACTTCACTTTTAATAATTGGGATATGAGTTTAAGGTCCTTAGGTATCTCCCACTGATTTCTTTATCAGGAATCCTGTTAAGAGTCGCTTCATTTGTCTAAGTTGTACCTGTACTAAAGCCTCTTCCCGCAGGAAGTCTTTCCTGATAGCTCAAGTTCAAGGAGATAACGCTCTCTTCTTAGTTTTTCTGACAGTTAATATCTGAACAAATTATTGGAAATGATATGTGTAGAACACTTAACTTGTGTATCACAATACTTTTAAGCAAGTAACTGATATTTCTCAGGCTAAGAAATCATAGTACATCAAACCCTAGAGTCAGATTGTGAAGTGAATCTTTTCATCTCCCAGAATGAGGGGAAGTCAAGGAATTGGATGCCAGGAAGGTCACACTCCCAAGAGAAGAGGAGGAACAGTTTTTTTCAGTGCTTCTGTGGCTGGCTGTGTCCTCAAAGGGAACAGTGTCCTCATTAAATAGCCAAGCAGTCTTGACTACCACTTGCTTAGGACTCCTCAGGTCAAGCCCTGTCCCCTTTCTGTTCCTCATTTTCCACATTTACAAAACTGAGGCAGAAAGATCCACTCCAGTTCCTTCATGGAAAGAATCAATTCCACCAAATATGGAACTTGAATTAGGACCATTCTGGACCTCTTTCTAGCTTTATATGTTACCACCACACCATGTACCACTATCATGTCTTTCTCTCTCTCTCTTTCCCTTTTCTTTCCTTCCTTCTCTCTCTCTCATACCAGTTCTAGCTACAACCTTTAACTAAAGACATTTTCGAAGGCCACTTTAATTTCTTTTCTTTGGCTCTTACTGTAAAATTATACACCTCTGGTTTACTTCAGATTAGAATTATAGAAGTTATAGAGTCTGTACAGAATAAAAAGGGTCCTAGAATATTCTCAAGTGTGTTATTCCTAGTAGGTGTAGATGAGCCCAATAAATGATGAGTTTCATAAACTTTACAATCTAAGTCTCAAATGCTAGCAATTCTGTTATCTTTCACTTTTATGGAGGTATGAGTTTCAAAGCTTCATTTAAATGTCAGTTCTTGAGGACACTTAAGCAGATACCAAAGCCTTTTAAAGCCTGGTTCTTTTTAGCAATCCATAAGGTAAAGAGCATTCAACCTAAGACAACTGAAGGAAACCAGAACAAATTCTGCAGGATTGCAATACTATGAAAAGTAAGAGCTTTGAAGGAATACATAGAAATGTACATACTTTGAAAGGGTGGTAGTATTGGGGGTACAGTTCTTAAACTATTGAAATTACTTCATTAAAAAATTCATGAGCAATATATACTATGAGTACAGTATTTTCTCTAAAATACATCCTGGTGGATTTGCTGTAAACACCAATTTCCAAAAATATGAAGAAGCTTCCTCCTTCACCTCTTCTGTTTTCATAGTAATTCTTACCCTTTACTTTAAAAAGAAAAAAAGGTAAATTTCCTGAGACCGCTTACTTCACAGTGTGTACCCATAATCGCTTGTAGCTTTAGAGTTCTGAGCAGTCTCAGAGGGAACAGGTGTGAAAAACATTTCTACATTCTGCTTCGGTGCTCTGTGTTTTTGTTCACACTAGGCCCTTCAAAGCAGTGGCTCCGCAGGAAGCTTTGAACTTGTCTTGTGAGCTTTAACACTGACATGCCCAGGCTCTGAAGAGCCCGGGTCATCTCTCTGGCCTCGTTTCCTCACTCCCTTTCCTGTCCTTGCCTCTGAAACTTAGTTCCTGGCTAAAAAAGTGCTTCGCTCTGGCCGAGGCCTCTGAAATCTCAGGAACGTTTGGACTGAGAATACGGAATCTTGGAATCTGGTCTGAAGTCATCAAAGACATGATACTGGTTGTACAAATGTGTCATTAAGTTTCCTTATCTCTTCCATCTGTAATAGAAGTCTTTAGTTTAGCAACATTTATTATTATTTTTTATTGCAGTTTAATTTCTTTAAAGTCTTGTGTTCATTTCTGCTGTACAATGTAGTGAATCCACTATATGTATGTGTGTATATATATATATCCCATTCCTCTCGGAAAATTTCTCAAGGCTAATAGCTCCTCTCCCTTCTTTGGCTCACGTGTATATAGAAAGTTTGTAGGTGATGGCTCAACAGAATTTTCCCTCAAAAAGCCAAATTATTTGAGAGGATTGAGTTTCCCGTTTCTTTGCTCCCTCTCTCTCGATATCGGCTCTTTGTTTTGTTTATCCCCAAGTCTCTGTGGAGAAAACTGAACATAAATCAGAAAGGAAAGGCAAAAGAGATAAGTCCACTTACCGTCTTCTGAACTACCAACACCATTATGGTTGCCACAGCAAAGACGAGACACAGAGCCAGCGAGGCCGTGGTGAAGCAGAAATACCCGCGGCCCGTGGCTCCCCAGTGGCTGGTGACGGAGCCTGCGGGCACATGCATGGCTGTGTCGTGAGACGGGGCCAGTGGGTTGAGTGCTCGCGGCAGCCCTGCGTCCATTCTTATATAGGCTTCCCCACATCACACCTTATCTCTCCTCATCTGATTCGGTTCTGGGCCCATCTCTGTTCCAAGAAGGATTCTTCCCCTGCATCCTGGATCATGTGACTTGGAAAAAAACCTTCACCGGCTGCCTCACGAAGAAACTCTTCTCTGGGGGCGTGAGGCGAAAGGCGGCAGGACGGGTGGGGGACAGGCTCATTTTTCATCGCCAGGGATCAGTTTGACTGAAGAGAAACTGTAGCTATAGAGAAGGTGGCTGATGTCAGAGGGCGAGTAGGAAAATGACGGTTTCCCTACGCTGCTCTGTGTGTGTGTGTGTGTGTGTGTGTGTGTGTGTGTGTGTGCGCGCGCGCGCGTACACACAGAGCAACTTCTGTTTCAGTCAGACTCAGCCACAAAACGCCTTCCGGCTTGAGAAGCTGCACGTTCTCCTCAGCGGGGCCTGCGGCTCAGAAGTCCTCATCAGAAAATATCTCTTTGCTGGGCCGGGAGGGCATGGCGACCCCACTTCAGTATTCTTGCCTGGAGAATCCCATGGACGGAGGAGCCTGGTGGGCTACTGTCCACGGGGTCACACAGAGTCAGACACGACTGAAGCGACTTAGCACGCAGGGAGGCTGGATCCCTTGGACTGAGGGGTTGATGATATTGGCTCCTCTTAAGAAATGGAAATGCTACCAGATCTCTGGCAAGGAAGAGCCCACAAATGTGGAAGTCTCTCCACAGGGAGACAAGCTTGATAGCAGGATGAAATTGGGGGACAGGTTCAGAGACACTGTCCAAGAGCAGCAAACTGGCAACACCGATCTTTTGAACAAAAAAAAATCCTCCAGAGTATATTGGGATCTGTTAAATTTGCATATAAAGTTGGGTGTGCTGCAAAGCTCAGAGAAAGGGGAAGGAGCTGGCAGCGAGGGTGGGGGTAGGGAAGTGGCATGGTGAAGAGTGTCGGGCGTGCGTGTCCTGTGTGGTGTGTGCACGGGGGTGCTGGGTGTGTGGCACATGTGTGCTGTGCATGTGAGGTGTATCTTCATGCTGTGTGGCACGTGTTGTATATCGTATGTGTTGTGTGTGTGTGTGTGTTCCCACTACAGTCGAGCCTCTTGTCTCAGATTGACACAATGCCTCACTTCACCCTCACCTCTGCCCTCTGAGGCAGCTAAGATTTTTTTTTTTTTACAGATAGGGGAAAATTGAGAATCAGAGAGGATAGAGACTGTGTTGCAAATGTTGATCAGTGGAATCACTTGGGTATATAGTTAAACCCTGCTGGCCCCGGAATCCCTGCTGCTGTCGTTGTACGTGAAGGCTGAAAACCTGAGGTTCTCTCTCAGCCTTCCCCCAGCCCTTGTGGTCTTGGCCCCTCTCGTTTTCTCCCTGTCTGCACTGACAGCCACCATAAGGATCAAACGAGAGCATGATATAAGAGTACTTCTTGAATGGGAAGAGACTTGGCAGAGGGTATTGGACCATTCTGGTTAAATGTTCCAAATAGTCTGGAATTTAGACAGAGTGGATAGATTCTCAAGGCAGGCAGAGCTGGCCACATCTGTGGCTACTAATCATCTCCATTTCAAAAGACCATTTAAAAAGTAAATCACTGTATAACCGGTGCCTCAGCCTTCAAGTGTACCATAGACAAGGAAGATGAGGTCCCCTTGATCCCAAGTGGGACTTGGATTTGAAAGAAGCGGGTGCACACATCCATTGGATCTGTCACTGAGGTGGGAATAAAGCAAACCAGTGTCTTTGGGGGTACGCACCTGGCTGATTCAGGGAGAAGACTGTGTCCCGTGGTGGGCCCCGGGCAGTGAGTGGGAAGCAGAGGGCTCTGTTGTCTGCCCAGAGCCGCTGAGAACGGGCTGCTCCCTCGGCCTTTCTCTGCAGTCTCTTTGATGAAAATGGAAAACTTCTGATTGTTGAATGGAAGCTGTGGGTGTTGAAAAATAAAGACTTTGCTTGAAGTGCAGGTCTTCCTGAAGGCCTGCGGGGCTCAGAAGGGCAGTGGAAAAAAATGTTTGTCTTACAGTCACACGTTTTGCATACAGTGTAATGTCCTGAGAGGGAAGGCTGACAAGGGGAAAAAAAAATCTTTGTTTTTTATTCAAAGATTTTTATTTTGTTTTTATTCAAAACCTTCTGAGCAGTTGAGATTTTCACATCAGTCCGGTTCCCCGTCGGCCTGCGGACCCAGTTTCGCTCCTTCCCACATGGCACTGCTCTGCTGTTGAGCCACCCGTGGTTCCCTGTTTCCCAGCCCCGTTGGTCTGAACTCTCGTCTGCTGTCAAGCGGTGCCTGAAGCTAGCCCGGCCCAATCACCTGGTGGTCCCATCTCTTGGGCTAACTGGCTTTTTTCTCCTCTCTGTTCAGCCACCCAGTGCACAAATGGAAAGAGTTTTTATAGAGCTTCTTGTTGAGTGATTTTCAAATCCTTTCTGGAAGCACAGCTGTAGAGTGGGTGTAAAAAGTCATGAAAGTGGAGTTCTCCAGCTAGAGCAGAGTCAGGAGAAGAAGGGCTGATTGCAGACTGCTCATTCACCACGTAATAACCAGAGGTCTCTCCAAGGTGGAACAACATTGGGAAACTTGTGATTTAGCTCAAAACCCTTAATCCTCAAACCAGGAAACCGAGACAAAGGAATGGAAGTGACTGGGGTGGAGTGGGGTGGGGGAGTTTCCCTGGAGAGGGGTAGAGACAACTTAGAAGTCTCTGTGCTCGGTCTCATCCCCTTCCTACTGATGTTTCAGGCACATTCAGGCTTCTTGTCAGGTTCTCCTCGCCCTTCCACAACTGCATACCCTTCCTGTCCCTGGAGGCTCCTGCCAGCCTGTCTCCATCCTCTGGGAAAGCCCATCCAGACCTCTCAGGTCCACCAGCATCCTCACTCCAGAGCCCACTGTCTTCATGCCACGTAACGCTGCATCTCATTATCTGCTTGTCTTGACGTCTGTCAACTGTGTGAACATGTGTGAATTTTGCCTCCCCCATAAGATTAAGAGTTCCTGAAGGCAGTCTGTGCTTTTCTAGGCTTCTGAATCCTCTCATCTCACCCTGTATTACTTGATGCAGGGGCTACCTATGGTCAATGTGCACTCAATGATTGAGTTGATTTTATGTTTATAGAAAGAGAAAGTTCTAGAAGTTTGGCTTATGCAAAAGAACTGTGTGATGGCATAGGTTGTCCCTGACCTTTCCCTGTCCTGCTCCAGATGGCCCACCCATTGGCTTTTACGTTCCACCACAGCTGCGTGGAAGTCACCACCAGCCTCCTTTCAGCCTGTAGTTGCCGAGGAGTGGCTGCAGCGTCTGAGACTCAGTGAGCAAACAGACCTAATCTCTCATCCCTTCAAGAAGGAATCCCATTTAAAAACACGAATAGGAGCCAGCTCTTGGATCCCCCTACTCTCCATTGTTTCCCCGTAAAAGAGGCTGAGATTGCTATCGTGTAGACAACTAGTGGTTCCCAGACGTGGTCCCTGAACCAGTAATAGCGGAACTTAGCGGCTGGCACTGCAAATTCTTGGGCTCCACTCTACACCTACTGAGTTAGAAACTCATGCTGGGGTATAGTAATCTGTGTTTTAACAAGCACCCAAGGGAATTCTGACTTCTGAAACCATTTGGAAATCATTGGTTTAGGGAAATAACTTCTCCAGTTTCTAGAAATAACCTAGAAGGGATCATCTTGTCCAGACTCTGGCCTTTGGGCAGGTGAAATCCTACCCCTACTTTGAAGATGAGAAAACTGAAGCTCATAAAGAGGAGAATGTTACCGTGAAGACTCATTTTTTAAATCCCTTGATTGAACCCTCTTTCTAACCTCAAATATGGCTATACGCTGCAGAAATACTATTGCTTATGCAGATGGAGATATATTTGTAGTACTTATCTAAACTTTTCTTGTGATGATCACTGTATGTAGTAGAAAGAAATCTTTAAAAATAAACAAAAAAACCTCTTTCTATAAAAATACTCCCAGGATATTTTAAAGCAATAAAACTGGCAGTGAAACTACCTACTGAGGAGAGTGGGTCCTGTCCTGTTAACTGGAGTGGCCTATATCTTGCTGAAGCTAACTAACTTGAATACATCAGACATCAGTGTTGGCCAGAGTGATTGTTCCCTAAGAGAATCCAGTGATGACAGATATAGTCAGGGCGGGTTTAAGGCAGGGTCAGCAAACTGTGGTCACTGGCCAGTTTCAACCTACCACCTATTTTAACAAATGCAGTTTTATTAAAACAGTCATGCATGTTAATTTATGCACCATCTGTGACTCTGTTTGCATTGTAACAGCGATCTCAGGGCCCATAAAGTCTAAATTATTGCTATCTAGCCCTTCACTGGAAAAGTTTAGTGATCCCTGGTTTAGTGTATTAAGCTCAAGGCAGAATAACCCAAAGAAGGGATCTGGAGAAAGGAATAGAAATGTGTTTCCCAAAATTCCTTTATAAAAGCTTCACTTATGTTTACATTATTAAGTCATGCTTACATAAGAACTGAAAGTGAGGTGTGTCAGAAAACATCTAGGAAATACATAGATATACTTCCAGAATTGGATATATCCACATGTGTGTGCTTATAAATACTATGTAGTATACATGTATACATGAATACACACATGTTACTTCTGCCTACTTTAAAAAGGGGTTGAGGCAACTTGAAATAAATGAACAGATATGTAAGAACTGAAGCCATGAGAACAAGGCAAACAGTAGGAGCCAGGACATGAAGGTAGAGTGTAAAGTGGATGGATTAAGGAGCCCTGGCTGATGACATTGTCACTGAGCACAACATGCACACCCCGGAGCTTCCTGGTAACCAGGGCAAAGAAGAAAGAAAGCGCACGGGGTTGCAGAACTCTGTGATTGTAAAAAGCAGATGAGTTCAAACGGAGACGTGGACCCTTTGCTGCTTGTATAGATGCTTTGAAATATACACTCTCTGACTCAGGATAATTCAACTGACAACTTTTTGACTTGATGATGGTGTGAAAGTGATATGAATTTAGTAGAAACCTCTCTTTGAGTTTTGGATTTTGATCTTTTCTCGGGCTAGCAACACAGGTACGATACTTTGTCCTGATGCTGGGCAGTGGTGGCTGCAGCTCCCAGTCGGCCACAAGGTCCCCAGGGGAAACGACAATTCTGTTCTGCACTTTCAGGGTAGTTTTCAATAAATTACATGAGACACTCAGCACTTATTATAAAATAGGCTCTGTGTCAGGTGATTTTGTCCAATTATAGGCTAAAGTAAGAGTTCGAGCACGTTTAAGGTAGGCTCGGCTA